GATTATGTTACCTGATGAAATGTGAGATTGAGCACAGCTGTTTTCCAGGCATTTTTTTCTAGAAAACTGGGCTGCTGACCAGATAACCACTAGTGATGTAAAGCTAGCAATTTGGCCAAGTTGGCATTTAGACGATGTGCATGTGGATGGGCGGGGCAGTATTTTTTTTTCGCTGCAGCATCTGGGGCAGCGAAATATGACTTCTAAAATCTACAGCTGGTGGGCTGCTGGCAGATTTGGCAGGAGGACCTGTGACACCCATTGCTATACCATCATTCCTCTCAGTGGGGGTTATTGACATGACATGATGTATAGTGGGGGTAGAGATGACAGATGAGGAGCGAGGAGAAGTGTGGCCCTTTGTATGGTGCTGTTGCCAAAGCGCTGTGTGGCAGGTGGTCAGAAGTGTCTTCAAGCATGTGGGACCCAAGTGGTTGATGTTTTTGCCACGCTTGATCCGCTTGAGACACAGGTTACAAATAGCAATGCTGCGGTCCACTGCACATGTGCTCAAAATGTATGTGTGTGAGTAAAAGATATAATAAACTTTTGTAAAAGAGAACTTGTTTTTTAGCCGAAAGGAGAAAAAAACAAAAAAAAAGGACAACATTATTTTTTTGCAACCATATATTTATTTATATGTCCTCTATGCCATTTAATATACCAGACCTTATTTATTAAAGATTTAATAAAGTGTGAAGTGATGAAGAAAGTTACACTGTGTTCCCTTTAACATGCACCTGTGCACAGGCTATGTACATTAAAGTGTTCACATTATAGTGTTTTAAAACAAGCCCTGACTGATCTCCATGACTGCAGAAATGTATCTTTATATTGACAACAGAAGAACCTCAGTCACAGCTTCTCTCTCCTTATTTCCTCTGGCGTCAGGAGCTTCTCAGTCTGCCAGCCTCCCAATGTAAGCAAACATTAGGTGCTGATAACACTCTTCAGAGTCTCTGTTGTAAACTTTGAGGATTCATTTTTTCACAGTACCAGTAGCTACAAAGGTCAGTGAAGGCTTGTTTAAAGCCTTAAAGCTCCACTCCAGGCAAAAACTACTTTTTTTTACAGAAGTCAGATATGCTCACCTGAGTCCCCCCCACCAGGTCCCTCACTGCCATTGTTTCTGGGTATAGGTGACAATGGATCCTAAGAGGACCCCAGCCAATGGACATGAAATAGGAAATGCAGGCACTGATGTGTAATCCTGAAGAAGGACTCAAACAAGATGTAAACAGAAGAGGAGAGGACTTGGGGCTGTGGAAACACATGACTGCAGCATAACCCACTGGTAGGTAAAAAAAGGCCTTTAGATAGGGAATTTTTTTTGATCCAGAGATTAGATAGTATTGTGGGAAAAAAGTAGGGTGGGTGAAATGTATCCTGGAGGGGGACTTTAATGTATTTAAAACCATGTATGCATTTTCCTTCTTTCCTCAAGACTATACATATACATTCTCTGCAGTCTCTTTTGATATGTTTTTCACAATTTTTGCTTTTCATCGCTGGACTTTTTTTTAGCTTATCAAAGTTTTTTGAACGTGAGGTTTCAAGAGACACAGATTCAAAATAAGGACTAATTGTGATATCTAAGTAAGGAAATTGCACTAACAAATCATTTTCATTTCTGTTGAAATCAGTGAGGAATGTCTTTACGGAATTGTTTTCAATAATTAAACGCTAATATGTTAAAACATTATTTAATTTTAACCAAAGGCTTTGGATCATAATACTTTTTGTTAAACACACAATTTTTCAAAGCATCCTTGATATCTTTATTCCTCAAGCTGTATATGAAAGGATTTAAAAGGGGAGTAAACACCGTGTAGAACATAGCCAGCGTCTTATTTATCCATTGCGATTGGCCATCATTTGGAAGCATGTACATGGCAATTAGTGTTCCATAAAATATAAACACAACTGTCAGATGAGAGCTGCAAGTAGAAAATGATTTCAGCCTCCCTGAAAAAGATGATATCTTTACTATGGTTGAAACAATGTAGGTATATGAAACTAATATCATGAAAAATGGTACGACTATCACGGGAATGCACATCAAACTAGCTTCTATTTGAACTATGGACACGTCTGAGCAAGAAAGTTCCACTACAGGATTAAAATCACAGAAAAAATGATCAATAGTATTTGGTCCACAGAACTGTAGATTGCATATGCAAAGTGTTAAAGTTAGTTCTATGAAGCAACTTAAAAGCCAAGATGTGAAAACTAACTTAAGACAAAGCAACCGGTTCATAATGGAGGCATAGTGCAAAGGAGAGCAGATGGCTAGATATCGGTCGTAGGACATCACTGTCAGGAGAAGACATTCAGATGCTTCTGAAAAGCCAAAGATATATAGTTGAGCGATGCAGCCAGAAAGGGTTATGGAAGCTTGCTCGTGTAGTACAATATTGAGCATGTTTGGGGCAATGTCAGTGGTCAACATGATGTCAGAAATGGAGAGTTGTGTTAGGAAGAAGTACATGGGAGAGTGGAGCATTCTGCTGAAGAATACTAACATGATGATCAAGAGGTTTCCAAGTATTGTCACACAGTATGTCAAAAGGAGCAAGGTGAACAGCAGATATTTACAATTGTCTAGGTTGTGGAATCCCAAAAAGTATATTGTAGTGACATTGCTCTTAAATGCATCCCATGTGTCCTTAAAGAAAATAAACATATAGAATAATATGACATCATAAAAAAAATAACATCAAAATATTATGTAATAAGGTGATCCCCAACCTAACAGACTAAATATTGATTTCTATATTTGTAGGATATAAAAGGTATGCAAACCTAATTACTAACATTGCATAAGATTTTAATGCAATTTCATATGATTTCAGTCTTTTCAAAACTTTGGATCTTTAAACATAGCCCATGGTGATCCTGCCATAAGGGTAATTGTTCAGTCACTTCCTTATAGACGATGACCATGCTTTGGTACCCGCTTGTATTCATGTTGCCCTGTAACATGGTCTCCTGATGGAGACTACACATGGCTATATCGGTACACATTGCACAGGCATAGAAAAACAGTCTGAGAAACGTCATACAGCCATCACTGGAGTGCATGTAGGTAAGAAGGGGCTGTGAAGAGACTGCAGGAGATAAGCAGTACTGAGATATATCAGAAATAAAAAAATAAAACCAGCTACTTTATTTCTAAAAAATACAATAATTTATGATACACAATGTTTTAGCAAATTAGTTGTCATTTAGTTAAGGTCTAATTTAATACACAAGTTAAAAAAGCCATTTTTTTGAACGCATGTGTTAAAAAACAAATTATGGCTTTTCAGGGAATAATACATTATGTTACATTATATAACTGATTGAATTAGTGTATGAGTAACATCTAGTTAGAGCTTTCAAAAATATACAATGTGAAATAAAAATTGCCAGGACATCATATTTACTTGGTATGCCATTAACATGTAGATTGAAGAAAAAAATGTTTATTTACTGAAGGCTCTTCACAAGGGTAATGCATACATTGCAAAGTGAATGTCAGCAAACAAGGTGAAGCTGTGTTCCATTTATTTACCCATATATAATACATGCCAATTACATACAGATACAGTAATACCTAGTTATCTAGATGCTTTGATAAAGATGGATTGAGCCCTGTTGACAATAAAATGCTGATGTGTTGACTTATCTCCAAAGAATGACCCGTGACTGTGTGTATGTATCTATATATCTATAGATATCTATAGATCTATAGATATCTATAGATCTATAGATATCTATAGATCTATAGATATCTACATATATCTATAGATATCTATATGTAGATATATATATATATATCTATATATAGTGGGATTTAGCTTCCAATGGTAGCACATTAAGGACACATCCACTCGCTTATGACTTCTTTTAAGGGCTTCCTTGCCCACTTTTATTAAATCCAACTGAAAAGTTCACACAGGCTTTTCCCTCGCAGGGGTTTTCAAACACAAAAAGTGCCGTTTTCTTTCTTCATCCAAAATAGCACTTTCAAAGTCCACCGACTTTAGGTTGTCTGATTAATACTTTTCACCTTTTCAACACACAGGTGACACACTCCTCGGTCCGCCTGCCACAGACTGGTCCCAAGGTGGAGCCCTCCTGACTCCTACAAAGACCCCCTCTGTCACCCAGGTGGAGCCCTGAACCTGACCCAGCATCCTCCTCATAAAGGGCTTTGCACAGGTGCACCATAATTTGGTGCTGGGCACCACTAAAGCCCGGACTCAGGAATGGAGATTTATTCCCTCCTAGTTCTCTTAGAAATCTCCCGGCTCCAGGATCCCAACTATAATCCAGAAAACCCGGAATGAGTTGTAAAACCAGCTCTTTCCTGGTAACAGTAGTTTCCTGGAGCCGCTCAGCCCCTCTGGCTGAGAGTCCTGGGTGACCCTTTTTCCACTCTACATAGTGTCATTACCACGCACTGCCACAATAAATGTATATATAGACAGTATACATATTTATATATTTGTTACACCTCAAAAGTCCTGTATAAAAACAATATAATGTTGGAATTTATACCGATTATACAATAATGCATTATATTTTCTGCTCCAATATATTTATCTTTGTAGTATAATAAATCAATAACATAATTTTATAACCTTTCAGAAGTTTTTAGAAGCAGAGAAGAAATATTACCTCCATGAAAAAAAAAAAAAAGTTTAAAGAAATGGTCTCTGTAAACATATAAAGATACTTACAATATTTTTTGTAACTCTCTGGTGAAAATCCATATGTGGTTAAAATGTTACTAAAATATAAATACCACACAAAATGTGTTAAATAAGAATTGTATATTATTTAATACATTCATTTAATTATTGAATAGGAAATAAAGAAAAGATAGAAAAGGAGGTTACTTTTAATGAACGGTAGATGTAAAAATATTGTACTTATAAGTGGCTAACCTCAGTCTCACAAATATATATTTTATATGCAGGTATATGTAAGAACCTTTCTTTATTCCACAAGGGATGATCTAAATCCCTAAGTGTTTATTGTTATTACTAACAAATACAATATGATTTTATAAATTAACTCCTTACAAGTCTTATTTAGGCCATTAATATATATTAAAATAATTTTAGAAAACTTTATTAAAGATTTTTTACTTGCTTTTGTTTCGTGGAGGACAGACAATTCCAGTGACTTTCTAAAACTCGCTGATGATTAAGTGGATCTGTTGCCATGGTTGAAAAAGAACATTTTTTTTTTTACAGTCTCAAAAACGTATAGCTGACTAAAAAAAATGGATAGTTATTTGTGTAAAAATATCAAATAAAAAAAGCTCTGTAATTTGGATATGGAAAACATTAAGGGGGTTATTCGCTTACCTGCCGAATGATCTGGCCAAAGCTTCGGCTGATCCTTCTGCTCACTTCAGCTGCTGTAGCCCTTCAGTTCAGTTGAACGGAAGGGCTGCTGTACCGGCTATTCACAATAGCCCGTACACCAGCCGAAGGCAGCTGAGCAGCTCAGCCGAGCCGAACACAAATGCTTCCGCTCGGCAGACCGTTCTCCCTGCAAAAGACAACAGCTGGGCCAAGCCAGGCATGATGTCATGGCTGGCTCCGCCCAGCTGATGTACTGCAATGACAGATCAGTGTCCCCAAATGACCTGGGGATGCTGATCTGCCATTAAACAAGAACAACTGAGTGGAGCTGACGTCAGTTGTTTTCATTTGCCCGGGACCTGATGGAAGACTCTGGCAGGTGGCGGCCAAATGTAAACAGTTGGGCGATGCTAGTATAGTGCTGATGATGTCACCACTAGCTCTGCCCAATTGTTTATATTTTGCCAGCATCTGTCAAACTCTTCATTCTGCGGTGGGAGTTTGCCGTGTGCAGTCAAATTGGCAGGCGTCAGGTTTTTTAATTTATTTTTTGTTTATTTTTATTTATTTCGATGAGTCGTCGTGGACAATGCTGGATGTCATGATTGACCTTAGGATTATGTTGGTGGATCCATTTTTTGAGGTTTTTCGTTTTATTAAAGGACTTGTCAAAAATCCTTTGTTGTGTTTTTATTTCAATTAAAGGATTTTTAATTAAAGTCTGGTCTTTTTATTTTATTTAAAAACATTTTTTTTCCATTTGATTACATTCAGCCGAAGGCTGTCAATGTACAGCTGATTTTAGTCAATGTATTTTTATGTAATGTCAACAATTTATATAAGTAGATTCTTTGTACCTTTGTATGACTCAACGTTGAAAAAAACAAACTGTGCTAAACTGAAAGGGAACTTTAATTTTTAACTGTACTGTGGTTTGGGGTAAAAAAACTGTGGTTTTGCCCACTGTTTTCTTATTAGGCCAACACAGACCTGGCTTAGACAACTAGCAACAGTTTCCAGGAGCATAAGGTCATAAAGCCCAAAAACTTGCAAGAACAAGATTTGTAAAGATGCATCCCTAATTTTATACACCCAAGCTTATATATTGCCGTGAGATGTAGGACTAGAAACACCTTGCGGTAGTGTCCTTGAGCAGAGAGGTCAGAGAACATATAAAGGTCATGGAACTCTGATATGGCAAACACACTGTGCCCATGAGGCACACTTTTTGCCCACGAGTCACAATTTTCTTGTGGAAAATGGGCAGACTGGGAGAGACATTGGCCCAGATAAAATTATTGTCAGTAGCCCAAATATTATTCCTGTGGGATCCTGATTTTTTTGGATGTGCCAAATTAAGGTGCTTGAAAAGATAGATGTGAACCAATTGTAAAGAAATACCAAGTCTCTCAAACTGCTCCAAATAAATGATGGTTCAGAAAATTAGTTGTTTTCAATATTTGGTGCAAGAGGTGTGTGCAAGAGGATGACGGTCCAGGACAGTTACACATTCTACTATGGGCCAAATAAAATACACAGAATATGCTGCAACATGAACTTGTATAAAATGTAGGATGTTGCAGATGACCATTCATATTTCTCAACAACCATCAATCTTAAAAAGTAAGCTGTGACTAAGACCATGATTGAGTGAAATGTGTCAGAGGAGGCGGACCTTGGGCAGGACACCAGTGATGTGCTACACGTTTGAATAAACTGTTCAAGTGGAATCTGGTTTGTGACCAGTTTTTCTTATGTTTGTATGACCACCTATCTTAATTCGTCTGACCATTGTCTTTCTGGGCGAGATTACTGGATTGTGTCCCTCGGTGATAAAAGAATGTTAGGTCCATAGAGGTGAAAAAGAAAAACAGTTTATTGTCAGAAGAATGGCGTGATTGATTATTTTTAGGTTTTGTAACCTGTCACCTTCATACTAAAGGGATTGGAAGCAAGTTTTAGTGGGCGTGTGTTTCAGCCTAGAAAAGGGAAAAAGAGCAGGATTTCACACCCCAATTGATAAATAGTAGCTACTTGGATAAATTCCACCCAAGGGTATGCCAAGACCCTAGGGGGAGGGGCTTTCAAGAAATACTAAGAGCTCTCTTGCTATGTATAAAAGTTCATACATTTATTTAATATAACATGATTATTTGAAGATTAAAATTCAATTTGGTAAAACATGATTGAGAGCAGGAGCGGACAGGGGAATTTTCATTCCCTGATCTGCTCTGCGCTAAATGAAGCAGGCAGCACTGTGATCTCAAAATCCTGTGCTTGATCATCTGTGCTGGAGGGCAAGGGAGACATCAAGAGTCTAATAGACCCCTGATGTCTCCATAAAGAGAACCTGTCACCTCCAAATGCTGTCACATAGTGGCTTCTTAGCCTTTTTGCGATAGCAGAATTTAAGTTAAAAAATCATAAAAATTAAAAAAAATCATTAAAAAAATCGGTTATAAAAAGATACAAAAATTGATAAAAGTATAAAAATAATAATAATAATTAAAAAAAAAGTTTAAACCAACTCTTCTACCCTCCACATCTGATTCCATTGAACACCTGCACATAAGGCATGCATGTGTATGTAGACAGGGGGGGGTTCTTACAAAAATAAAACAAATAATTCAATGCACTGGGATCAGTGCAGCCGCTGGTGTAATTGCAACCCTAATGGTAGACCATGGAACAGACACAGGCTGGGTCTGTCTGGGCTACGATTAGGACCTCTGATCAACGAAAATGTAAGTTAAATTAAAATTGATTATGCCTGTACTGCATTTTCTTTTTAGGTAACCTTTTATTGCACATTACATTGTACTTGCTTAATGTTACTACCGTCCTGTGCTTGCCAACATTTTAAAATGTTTGTACAGTTTTTTCTTCAATTGTTGGTAGATTGAGGAATAATTAACGTTAGTATTTTATTGCTGGTTGTGTCCCCACTGGGTAGATTTACCCCTCCATTTGTTGTGGTGACCAATGTTAGTGAAACAGGATGTAATGGAAAATCCAAAATAAAAAGTCAACAGAACTAAAAGAAAGGGACACCTTTTCCAGGATGGATGTGTAATGTGAGGTCCCCCCTTAGATACCCACATTAACCCTTAACATATAGGGGTCTATTCACTAAGCTGCCGAAGGATCTAGCCATAGCTTTGGCTGATCCTTCGGCTAGCTTCCGCCCCTTCGGTTCAGTAGAAGTTGGCCGAGCGGCTCAGTCGAGCCAAAGGCATATGCCTCGGCTCGACTGAGCCGAGGTGAAAGCTGAAGCTGGCAGAACGGCAGCCTACTAATGACAGCTGGGCCACTTGCAGAGACAGATTAGCATCCCTGGTTACCAGATAACCAGGAACACTGATCTGGCATTACTTTCCCAGATGCTCTGGTATAGTATTAGATAGCGACTCCCGGCCACCCAGGAGAGAAACACTTGCTCGATCGAGCAGAGTAAAACTTTCCTTACAATCTGTTTTTTTTTTCTGACAAGGGGCCGCCGGCCGCTGTCAGTCAGAAAAAAAAAGCCAGCATAGGCATGCATAGCTAGATTCCTATTGGTTATTTCACTTTGCAATAGCCGATAGCAAACTAGCTATAGCACCCACCCACTGCTGCTGTCAATCAGCAGAGGGGGACCTGAAGTTCTCCATCAGGTCCTTTTCTAGTGATTGACAGCAGCAGAAGGCGGGTGCAGTAGCTAGTTTGCTATTGGCTATTGCAAAGTGAAATAGCCAATAGGAATCTAACTATGCATTCCTATGGTGGTTTTTTTGTTGTTTTTTATTCTGATGGCAGCAGAACTGCCCGGCCAATAGAAAACAGTTGGGGTTATACACGGAGCGATATAAAGCTGAAATCAGCTGTACAAGCCTGAAGTGAAAAGCCGAACAGTGTTCAGCTCACTTCCCTTCGGTTCGGTTATTCACTCGGCTGCCAACGGCAGTTTTGTGAATAGACCCCATAGTTTAAGCCTAGAATGAGCACCTGATTTATTAATGCCAAAGCTTCCAGTGTTGCACCAAGAAATCACAGGAAGGAGATCTTGTTTTTTTCTTTCAACCATGCAGGAATTGGAGCAGACGCCACATACCCTAATATATTAATTTGCACCTGAAGCCAAATTTATTAGAGTAGGAAATTGTTAGAACTTTGTTGGATTTTTGTGCTCAAAACATAAAAAATACAACACGAGCACCAAAGCATCAAAAGGAAGTCCAAAACAACTTTCATGAGTTGATAGTAAGGGTAATAGAACATAAATATTTCTTGTGCCAAACCACTCAAATTAGGTATTACATTAAAAATAAACCATAACAGCTCTGTTAATTTGGATATGGAGAATATTTATAGGGTTATTCACAAAAGGGTGAAGAGTTTGTAGAAGACAGGAGAAGTGAATAATCTAGGCCAAAATAGCTGATTTGAAATTCTCCAATTCAGCTCACTTTCCAGGTCAGCTATGTTGTCCTAGATTGTTCCCTTCTCCTGCCTTCTCCAAACTCATCACCCTTCTGTGAATAACCCTGTTACTTTTTAATCACTTGTTATTATTTTACCCAATAATTCACCTTGTATTTACTATGGGTTTATCATTTATTTTTTCGTGTTCCCAATTTTCCAATTACTAGCTGGTTTTATAACTCTACATGTATGTTATTAATGTTTTTAAATGGACACTTATCTTCAAATGGACAAGTATATTAAAATGTTTTACTCATTTCTGTAGCCCTGCAGAAGAGGTAGGGATTTGTCCCCTGAAATGCATTGGTTAATTTGTGTGATGTTTCTATAGCTATCTTTTCTAAAGTGTTTTTGGTCTCTCTCATTTGTTGTAACTTTATGCTGTGAGTGACATTCTTTGAATCCATCGGAGTTCGTCCTTGCTTTATGTGAGCAGCCATGCCAGAGCCAGTGAGCCTACAGAATAACTGTGTTCTTCTCATTACTCCATTACTGAAAAGGGATGAAGTCCCAGTGCCTCTTGTTACCTTATGAGGTTTATGCCAAATCCCCACAAACATATGTATATAGTTTTTGTAGTGAATAATATTCTATGTTGGGAGAGTGAATGGAGTAAGGGAAAAAAAATGTTTTCACTGTCCTGAGGAATTGAATAAATGGGGATTTTGAATGTAATTATGGATCTGTTCAGGCATAGCCTTTTAACTGTAAATGGCCAAGACAAGAAACAAAAGGTTCCAAAGACAGTACAGAACCTAGAGCATTTATCTTCAGGATAGGTGCATATTCTCTACTGTCTCTGGCTAACAGCTTTAAAGGATCATTGTAGGTAGATAAACACTTAGATTGTCCAACTGTGTTTAGACGCAAGCATGACCTGGGGTTAGCCTATGAACACCTGCACCTCCAGTCTGGGTACAGTAAGATCATTAAAGATTTGCACAAAAAGGGGTTGGGAGTCCTAACAAAGAGCATTTGGAAATATCCATTCCCCAGAGAAGGATTGTAATTTGATTAGAATAAGTATTGGCAGGCCACCAATTGATAGCCCGCAATGCTTCCTTATGAACACCAGGAAGAATGAAGATATGTCAAGTGGCCAGATTATTATGACCACCTGATGTTTGTAGGCAAATTAGCTATAATTAGCTATAATTTTGCGCTGAAGTTGCTAGAGGGCCAGACAATTATAAATAGGGAAGCAGGTTGTTTACCACGACAGTAGAAGTGATTTGTTTCTGAAGATACGGGGAAACAACGCAATTTAATGTTACATCACTCCCTGCATTCAGTGTCACTCTCCAGCTAGAGAATGCTCATAACCATATACTTGTAGGTGTGAATGCTTATATAGGGGATCATAACTTAAACTATAGACATGTGCGATTCGTTTCGTTCCGAATCGAAATTCGGACGCATTTTCGGAAATTCGGACATTCGGATGTATCCGAATTACAGACATAACGAATGCAAACGAATCCGAATTTCCATTTCCGAAATTCGGTAGCGGTAGTTCGAACGTTCGTTTCGTTTTCGGTTCTTACTAAACGAATTTTTTGGCAGTGCACATGTCTATTAAACTAGTAATTTGGGTAACACTCTTGAATATGTTTTTTGGAGGATTTTTTCTTTTTTTGCTGTCTGTCTCTCCACTGGTGAGATGAAAGTAAAGGGAATATTCATAGATCTATAACCAGAACAAGAAGATAAAGGAAAAAGAAACCATCCAATTAGGACTCAGATGGCAAAATAATAACAATGATAACCTATTTTATCCAGTTTTGGCTTGGGATATGCTTCAATAAATAAATAAGATGCTGTAGTTACAATATTTAGGTAAATACAAATGAAATAAATTGAATTAAAATTCCATATAACAGTCACAAAAGTTGTAGCGGGAACAGGTGCTTGGCCATTGTCATAGACAGTTATACATTATGTCTCTTTGTACGTTTGATCCACAATTTTGAATCAGAAGCATTTTGGTTATATATGACTTTTCTCAAAGCTTTCTTAATGTCATTATTCCTTAAACTGTATATGAAAGGATTTAGTAAGGGAGTCAACGCAGTGTATAGCAATGACAAAGTCTTACTGAGGATCTGCGTTTGTGCTTTGTTTGGAATCAAGTACGTGGCAATCAGAGTCCCGTAAAATATAGATACCACTGTCAGGTGGGAGCTACAAGTTGAAAAGGATTTCTGTCTCCCTGAAAAGGTGGATATCTTCAAAATGGTTGAAGCAATATACACATATGAAATCACTATCACGAAGAATGGTAAGACAATTGCAAGGATGCACATTAAGGTGCCTTCAATTCGAACCATGGACACATCTGAGCATGAAAGTTCCATCACAGGGTAAAAATCACAGAAGAAATGGTCAATTGTATTTGACCTGCAGAAATGTAGTTGACTTATTCCATGTATGAGAATCAGTGCTACAGAGCCCCCTAAGAGCCAGGATGAAATAATTAATTTAATGCATAGCACATGGTTCATAATGGAGCCATAATGCAGTGGAGAAAAAATGTCTAGGTAGCGGTCATAGGACATCATTGTCAAGAGAAAACATTCGGCTCCATCGTTTAAACCGAAGAAATAAAGCTGAGTTATGCATCCAGGAAATGATATGGAGGCCCGTTGATGTAGCACAGTATTTAGCATGACGGGGGAAATATCTGTGGTCAACAAGATGTCAGCTATGGAGAGTTGGGTGAGGAAGAAGTACATGGGAGAGTGGAGGTTCTTGCTGAAGGCCACCAGTGTGATGATCAAGGAGTTGCCTAATATTGTCACACAGTAAATGATGAGCAGCAAGATGAAGAGCAATACATTAAATCTGTCCATGTCATGGAACCCCAGAAGGTAAATGACTGTGATGTTGTTCTTGTAGGATGCCTTTGCAAAAAAAATACACAAATATAGTATTAAAACTAATAATATCAAACATTCACTTTTGGTTTTGGGAACTTTTGGTAGTTTGTGATGCAAGTAAAATGGTTTACAAACAATACCTTTTGCATGGCCCCAAAACCTGACCCTAACACTTAGGGGGTTATTTACAAAGCTGCCTGAAGGTAGCCGAGTGAATAACCCAGCCGAAGTGAAATGAGCCGAACAACGTTCGGCTATTCACTTTGGTCCAGTATGGCTGGCTCCGCCCAGCTGCCATTTGCGTGGAGATCGGTCGGCTTTGGCCAACCTTTGTCCCCGCTTCTGCTATTACTTTGGCTCAGTCGAGCCAAACCATATGCCTTCGGCTCGGCTGAGCCACTCGGCTGCCTTCGGCTGCTGTATGGGCTATTGTGAATAGCCCATACAGCAGCCCTTTGGTTCGACTAAACCCAAGGGCTCCAGCGGCCGAAAAGAGCTGAAGGATCAGCCGAAGCTACATCTGGGTCCTTCGGCTCTTTAGTGAATAACCCCCTTAATGTGTATATAACCCTTAACAATTAACATCTCTTATTTGCTCCATTTTAGTCTGTTATATATACCACTGAGTGTGTCAAGGAGTCTAATTATCCCTTCTGGTTCTTATCTTAGACTACAGAATGACTAGTCTCTATGTTGTGAGAGTGGGTTTGAGAAATTAAGTGAACGATTGGGCAATGCTGACACTACTCAGTCAAAAAAATGGATACAACATGAGGAAATGTGGATGTATTGCAGACATGTATGGCATATGTGTTTTTTGTTGTTTTGTAATTAAAGTCAAGAGGTTTTTGAGCTATTTAGTAAATGTTATTAATTTATACATTACTAACAATGGAAGCTGCTCCTTGATGGTTAAAAGCTTTAGCTTCCTGCAGAATCAGCTGATCCCCTGAGCACTGACCCTGATATCCTGTTTAGGGTGACTAATTTCCCTTTGAGGGCCCCATGGAGCCACCCTTGTATGTGCCCCTCACTCCTCTTTCTACTTCCTTCTCTAGAAGATGGGTGGCTGCTGAAGATTGTGCTCTCTCCTTTGATATTGTACCCGACAGGAAGTTCAGGGAAGCTGAGCTAAGAGAGTTGGAGCTGTTTGAAAACATGATGACTGTAAGTGCTTGGGCAAGAATGTAAAAAAAAATACCTTGCTGGGCAATATATAGTTGTTTGATCTGGATTCATTTTTCAAAAAAAAGGTTTCAGAGTTTAATACTTCTTTAACCTCTTGCCGTCCGCCCGTAGTAAAAAAACGGAGTTTATGTTTGTGTGGTGCATCAATGCACATGTGTTAACATGTGTTTGCCACGCTTTAATGTATATTGCAGCCGATTAAAAATAACAAGTTGCTAATGCCCCAAAATGCCTCAAACAAAGCAGACATGCCACAACATTTTTAATGAAACCTGCCACAACACACTATGGTGCATGCCTGCTGCTCTAGTGGTTTTGGGTGTTAATCAAAGTGAAAGGCACCACAACACATTGACACATGTCATTTGAATTGCTTTGTATTGGGGTAATGTGCGCATTTCTGCAATGCATCGAAGTAAATCAGCCCCAAAACTTAAACTAACTCTGAAAATGTATTAAGATTCTGATATCAAGGGTCACTGACCCTACCCAGTATTCAGATGCGGAGTCCAGACTTTATTAATGCATTCTTATGTTGAGTCAGTGGGGGGGATTTATCAAAACTGGAGCAAATAGAATCTGGAGCAGTTGACAAGAGTAACCAATCAGCATCTCTCTTCAGTTTGCTCAGGTAAGATTTGAAAATGAGAGAGAGAAGCTGATTGGCTGCAGTGCAAATCTGCTCCACATTTCATCTGCTCTAGTTTTGATAAATTCCCCCCAGTGACTTAAAAGTGCTAAAACCAGAAATGCATAGTGTGTTATGACTACATACCACCTCCACCTCTTCTCTTATAATTGTCCTGTAGCTCACTAAGGTAAATGAAAACAATGTAACTGACAAGTCACCCGATGCCCTTATCGAACATATATAACAATATTCCTAAATATAAAAATAGACCTAAAGACCCTAGAATGTTTTTGTTGTTGTTGCCTCAGAACTGTTGATATTAATTAACAGATCAGTAATAAATTGAGTCTTAATTATAGAAGAGAAATTAATACTAACACATTGGTCAAAAACCTCTTTTCCTCCTGTATCTGAATTAAAAGAGGTTTTCAATATTTTACTGATAAAGCTGTATAATAAGCCACTGACAATGTCCTATTTTTCAGTTGCTGAATTCTTCCTGAATTCTATGCCTGCTCTGGGGGAAAATCAGTTACTGGACTTTGCTAGAACATGAAAATTGGGACTTAAAGGGTAATTTCACTTGACTGGTGAATCTGGGAAAATGGAATCTCCGCCACCAATCTGCCCTCTCTCCCCGTCCCGCTGCTCTTACTTTTAACCAAAAGGTCCTTCCCCCTCTGCAGCTGCTGGTGTATTATCTATGCTCTGTACCCAGCAGCACAGCCCTGTGCTCTGTATTTCAAATGGTAAGCACTCATTGGTCAGCACAGTCACCTGAGCAATGAGAAGCACTTCTAAACAAAAAGCACTTCTTATTGGTCAGCATAGTCAGAAGTGCTTCTGATTGGTCAGTGTGGTCATGTGACCATGCTGACAAATGAGTGCTCACCATTTTTGCAAGCAAAATTTGAAACACAGAGGCCAGGGCTGTGCTGCTGTGTATGGAATATGGACAGTACCCTGGCAGCCGTGGAGGTGAAGAAGCATTTGGTTAAAGGTAAGCGCAGGAGTGGAGGGTATAGGGGGCAGATTGCTGGGGGTAATTCCATTCTCCCAAATTTGTCTGGGAAAGTGGAATTAACCTTTAAGCAGCTTTTTCCTTATATTCTATTTATAGATTTATATTAATGTATAAATTATTTATTTATATATTTTTTTATATTTGCTGACACATAGAAAAAGGGAATAAAATGGAAAAAAAAACCAAACACATTTGATTACCTTTTTCTATGTGATTTTTAGTGTAAGCAAATATGAAATCCTTTACCTTTCTACCGTTTTATTATTATTTTTTCTTATGTTTTGTTGGCTGCCATTAATTTGAGATTTTTTTTATTATTATTTATTAAAATTGCCATATGAGTTTTTCATATTCTTATTATAGGTAGTCATGTACTGGGCTCTTTACATTATTTTGGTATTTTGTAATGTCTTTTGGATCCTATTTATCTGATTTGCAGGAATCCCCTTCCTATGTTGTCTGTTTTATTGTATTCTTCTAATTTTGTATCTGTATTTATTTCTAAAACATAATAAAGACATTTGGAAACAAAAATGGCTTTCAATTGTATATTTAACAGACCAAAATTAAGCGCATAAGAGATGATTCATTGTTAGTTATTACATACACTTAAAGGCAAACGGTGCAAAAAGAAATCAGAATTAGGCACTCACAGAAAATGCTCTGTACATTCATTTTAAAAATAATATATACTTTACTAGTATCACATTTTGTTATAAAACCTTATGATGTAAGAAAGTTTCAAGAGGAAAGTTTGAGGCTGGAGTGACATCTTTCTATGCACGTTTTCATGTGATTTTGTAAGCATTGTAACATGCTGCTATCATCCTTAAAGTGACACTAAACTCAGATGTTAAATCCTAAAAATACATTCAAGTACCTAAACTATTAACAACAAATTTATCTTATTTGTGTATCACTCGGCCGTAGATCCTCCAATCATCTCTGACGCTGTCCTTCCTTCTGCATGGTAAGATGTGAAACCAGCCGCAAACTTTTCTGATAAAACTTTCTAACATCAAAAAGTTATATAAGAAAATGAAGTTCTACTAAACTACATAGATATCATTTTTAAAATAAACTCAGGAGTTCACACCACATCCAGATAATCTCCAGGCCAAACCAGATTGTTTCCAGACCCAAAATGCATCCTAGTGTATCCCTATGATATTTCTGGCCTCTGTTCACACCAGCACAGTCCGTGTGTGGAATGCACAAGAACTGTGGGCAGGTTCACACCATTTTCCGGGCCAGATCTGGTCCGGAAAATGGTGTGAACCTGCCCGTAAACCTTAAAAATACATTCGAGTTCCTTAACTATAAACAATAATGTATCTTATTTGTATATCACTCGGCTGTAGATCCTCAAATTATCTCTGAATTGGTGCTGACACTGTCCTTCCTTCTGGAGGGGGAGCTATGCGTGTTCCTCATGGTCCCTGTGTGTGTTGGAAAGTAGTCACCACTCCAAGCTCGCTCCCGGGATGGACTACAATCTCAATACAAATTATTAAACTAAACTAATGTAGTCTATCCCGGGAGCGAGCTTGGAGAAGTGGAGCATTTTCAACACACACATGAAGAACAAAAGTAGCCCCCCTCCAGAAGGAAGGACAGTGTCTGCACCAATTCAGAGATGATTGGAGGATCTACAGCCGAGTGATACACAAATAAGATACATCGTTGTTCATAGTCAAGGTACTTGAATGCATTTTTAAGATTTAAGTTGAGTTTAGTCTCACTTTAGTGTCTCCTGAGCTTTGTGCCACCCTATAAAGTGTGGCGAAGCATCAAAATGCCAACGCATTACGACCCTTTAAAGTGCGGCGATGGACAGTACATGCCAAGGCATCGGATAGATAGAATAGCATAGATGTGAATAGCCCCTAAAATATTATCACTATGAACTAAAATGTCTGTGACAGAAGAGAAGACAAACCTTCAATAAAGAAAGGTAAAATAAAATGCACTTACACTGTTCAATAATGATCCATGATGTTTATTCATAATCTGTATATTTATTTGCTCTGAAATAAGGGAGCACAGATGAGGATGATTTAAATTTTTAAATTTTTAAATTACTAAAAAAAGAAAATATATATATATAGTGTAATAATTATGTATGTAGAAAAGATATTTTAAACATTCACTTTAGTGAGTGTTTTTTGTTTTTGCAATAAGAAGGAAAAAAAAAAGAACCAGGAAAAAAATATGTTGCCTTTTATCTGGATAATAAATGAAAATATGCAGTTCACTCAAGGTGCTGATCAATACTGTTGGATAAACCTGGTGTGACAAAGAAGACGTACATTTATACACAATCGTTGTATAGAGAATGAATGATCCAATCGAGAGTAAACAACACCCTTGGGTGTCTATGCTTCTAAAAGTAAAACATTACACTTGAGAAGAGTAAAGTAGTTATCTTTTTTTAACATTTATAGAAACAGTAACTTTTAAGAGAATATATTAAAAAAACCTTGTACAAGTAGCCATAAAGTAATCAATTAAAGTAGCATGCTTTTGCAGTACATACATTATATATGTATGTAGCGCTCACCCCCGAAGGAGCCGCTGAATGATCGGGTCTTCCATAGCCTGTCTAGGGGATTGTTAAAACGCATGGCTGCCCCAATAGCACTTACCACTTCCAGTGGTTACCGACAGATTGAAGTCCAGACAATAGTTCCGATATTCTTCTCTTGTATTGCTGTAACTCCAGGGAGAGAGGGAAGAGGGTCAGGCACCTCCCGAATGAAGGTAGACTCCTTGTACTTGAAACAGAGCAAAGTAACTGCTGCCACCACAGACTTGGACCTTTAAGCCATACAGTCAATCTGTGTGGAGAACTTCTGGCAAGCAGTACTGTCAAGGGTCTTGTTCAGGTTCGACTCCAACATGATTGGCTGACCACTGGGCCTCCAGGCTCAGGCCCCAGTGTCCAGGCCTAGTCCCCAGGCCTAATCCATTCTATCTCTTCAGCAGCAAGCATCCTGTCCCAGGCCAGGAGGGCCCTGGGGAGGGGAAGAGTACTACACACCATATGTACTTCAATGAAGGGTTTCGGTATGTGTAACGCACACACTATGTCCACAACTAGTTCATGTTATAGTGTAATACAAAACTTGCAGTAGACTTTGTAAACAGTGCTGAAGCTTCTGGCTCCAGAAGTTCAGAGTAGCGAGTGTTCAGTACATTTAGTGTTCTAGTCTCTTGCCCCAGAACAGTAAGCTCTAGTCTGGACCCAATTGTCTGAGAGATATTAGAGAAGTAGCCGCTGGCGTGTGTTGTTGTCGGCCTATCTTTTTTCTAATGACGGTGCTCCCCTCCTCTGTGCCATCATTCATTTGTCTTTTCAAGCCTGATGAAGAGGACCCTGCGTGGCCCCAAAACATTGTTACTTGTTTTGACATGAAGTGTCAATAAACAGACATATTTTTCACTTCAATATGGTGTGCCGGTGACATCTTCAACAAGTTTCAGTATTGGCGGCGCCATCCCAGGTCACTTCAAGCACCCACGCTGACAGGAATACCCGGTAAGGAGTGCAGCAGAATTCTGCAATACATGTGCCATCATTTACGACAACACAAGCCAACAGTTACTACTGCAGTTCCTCTCCCAGAATAACTGGCAGCATTTCATTTAGTATAATAAAGTATTTTTAATACCAAGAAGGTGACAAATGAGAGAAGATGAGACACAAGGCTGCAAGGTTAGAATGAGGGCTACAGATGTCCTGTCCTGGCAGCTTTCAGAGGAGGAAGGGCAGGGGTTGTGTGTGCTTAACAAGGAATTTCAACCTGTGGTGACATTTCTTCTTTAACTGATACATTTTATTCCGCAAGGCTTCTGTTAAAGGAGTGGGATTTTAGGCTTTTGTTTCCGGAGTGGTGTGTTTTTAGGGTTATTCATTTAGAAAATGTTTATATATGTTTATAATAATAATTTTATATAAAATACATACATAAGAGGTGCTGGATCTTCTATAAACAATATACATTGTGGGAAAAAACAATATGATCAAGGCTACTTGCTTTGGTGAGGCTGATCACATATACCAGAGCATCCCCAAGAGAAGGGGGTACTTAACAAAATTCCAACTAAAAAAGAAATAAGTAAGGACACCACACCAATGGTCAAAGTATCTAAATTATATTATATTAGATAATCAGTGGAAATACAACATGCTTTTGAGGAAATACAACATGCTTTTGAGTTGTACAATCATAAGGAGAACCAAACAAACAACATAGATTAGTTTTTTGGATACACTGGACATAAAAACTACACCTAAAAAAGTATGTGTTAAGGGCAACAGTCTAGTGTACAATTTAAAGGAGAACTATGGGGTCAGTGTTTTTCCCCATAGTTCTCCTTAGGGTAACGGGAGAACACAAACTAGCGTCCTCCCTTCACCCTAAGCTCAGTATACCGCGAGCTATAGCTGAGACGCCGCAGCCGGAGGGGATCCCGACGTAGATGAAGGGATCCGCTCAGCTGCGTGAGTGACAGCTGGCTCTGCCTATCTAGAGGCAGAGCCAGCTGTACCCGCCCCCTCCCCCGTCCATTCCGCCAGTTAGCGCTGGCAGATCGGAGTGGGGAGGGGGGAATCCAGCCCCTCCCCCTGTCACGGCAGAGATCTACTGAGCTGACCTGTGGCAGTCTCATTGTCACAGGTCGGCTAGAACTATGAGGTGAGTGAAAAGCACTCACCTCATAGTTCTCATTTAACATAGCAAGAGCTAGCTGGCAATGTCTTTGCATACTTTAGATTATAATCTCTCCACAAGGTATTTGAAAGAATGTTAGTGGAGAAATTGCACTGATGGTATTTTATTAAAAAATGTTAAGGAGTTTATGGGAGGGGAAGGATAGGGTAGGTAGACAGGTGAGGTAAAGGCAGAGGTTGGATGGGTAAGGGTAAAGAGAATTAAAAGAAGCCTGAAAGGAAAGAATAGAAAAAAAGAAAGGGCAGGTAAAGGGACAATGATAGAGAGATTAGGGAGGTCCTGCCTAGCCCTTGTGTGTGTGCTCAAGATATGTTGCTGCTGATCAGTGTTGATAATGGTGTAAATATCCTCTAGGAGGGTGTGAAGAAAAAAAAAATCTGAGAGGATCAGGCCAGTACCTACAGATATGAAGGTTCCCTGCCTTGTGGACATGCCCCCTTTGTGATCAGGCTTAAAGTGACATTAAACCCTCAGATTTTTTTACATAAAACAATACTGTAATGTGCGCCTTACTGTAATCCATGGTTGTTTCCCATGGTTGTGTCAGGCCAATCAATGAGAAGGGATGAACCTGGTTGGGCAATAATTGGGATACTACATTCATGTATGTAATAATGCTATCTATAAGTCTTATCCATTGTAATAACCAAGTAATGTTTTTACTGCAATTTATTTTATGTACAATAAATTTGATATCGTTTTACGCATGGTCTGATATATCTCTCCACAAACCCTTTCCTCTACTTTTTTGTCTACATTTTTCTTAGTAAGAAAAGGCTTCCATCTTGCCACACTCTGTTTCTATCTTACCCTCATCTTTGGCCGCTGCCGATCCCTACTCTCTTGTGGTGTTGGACCTCCCTGCTGGATCATGGACCCTGTGGTGCTTACCTCCCTGGTGGGTATGTACTTGTGCCGCATGCTGGTATGCTCTGTTGCCATGATGTCTAATTTCAATATAGTCTCCCACAACGTCCAAGGATTGAATGCCCCCCCAATAAACGCAGAACTGCCTTTAACTTCTACGCCTCCCGAGGCATACACATAGTGAGTCTTCAAGAAACCAGATACTCGGACTCTTCTAGACCTAAATACATACATAAACAATACCCGCAATCATTTCAGGCAACGTTCCATGAGAAAAAACGGGGGGTATTAATTGCATTCCACAAAAGTACCCCATTCACTTGCACATGCGAAATAGCCGACCCCATGGGCAGATACATTATACTGCAAGGCAAAATATTTGATACAGAGATCACCCTGGTGAATTACTATGCCCCAAACTCACACCAAACGCGCTTTTTCTCCCACTTGTTGGGAGTACTGGAAAAGCATAGCAGGGGCACAGTGATAGTCATGGGAGATTCCAACATGGTCCTTAATGCTCTGACACCACACACACACGCACGGACAACGGTGTTACATTGCTGAACACACTTCTAACCAATCACAGCTTACTTGATGCCTGGCGGGAGAAAAACCCCAACGTTAGAGACTTTACGTTTTATTCCTGTCCCCACGACAGCTTCTCCCGTATAGACCACATCTTCGTCACTCAGAGTTTTCTCTCCTCAGTGGTCCAATCTACAATACTCTCTGTCCCATGGTCCAACCACTCCCCAGTCCTCCTTCGCTGCACATCTTTAGTTTCCCGTCTGGCTGGGTTCACATGGTGCCTAAACGATTTGTTACTTTCCTTCACCGACACAGCGAATCTGGTTGAATCTTATATCACCAGGTACTTTTCCGAGAACATCTCATCGGTAACCTCACTGATTTCACTGTGGGAGGCCACCTTTCAAGGGAGACCTCATACAGTTGGCCTCCAGTCGGAAAAAGGAAAGGGAACGCAAAATACAAACGCTGTACAGAGACCTGGAGCATCTGGAGGCGGAGTGGAAGGTGCACCCCACAGCTGCCGCAGGCAAACTATTTTGCTCAGCAAAGGTGGAACTGAATCTCCTGCTAAATGATAGAACCGAAAAACAATTGAGATGGTCTAAACAAAATTTTTATGCTAGAGCCAATAAACCTGGCTCGATGCTTACAAACCTGCTGCACCCCAAACCTAAGGGAGTGCGCCCAATCCGACTCCGACTCGCGGATGGCTCCAGCTCTGCAAACCCAGCTACAATCGTGTCCAAATTCGGCTCCATACTAGCACGTCTCTATAGCAAACCCCCAATATTTAATAAACAAGCGGCTGATAACTTTTTTTAAAACATCCAGCTTACGACCCTTAGCGACCCCATGAAGGCGAAGATGGAGGCAGACATTTCTCTGCAGGAGGTACAAATGGCCATAAAAACGCTCAAATCCCAAAAATCCGGTTTCTCTGCTCTATATTACAAAAAATACTCTGACATATTAGCCCCACATCTGACAGACATCTTTAACCACCTGAAATTGGGCTCAAAATTACATTCTGCTTCTCTCCTGGCACAAATAGTTATGATACCCAAACCCGACAAAGACGAATCTGACCCTCACAATTATAGGCCTATCTCTTTATTAAACATAGACACAAAGATCCTCTCGAAAATCCTAGCCGCCAGAATAAACACATTCCTAGAAAACCTGATCCACAGAGACCAAGTGGGCTTCACCCCCCCCGGCGCCAAGCCTCTGACGCCACGAGGAAAATCATACAATTGATCCACTACATGCAAACTTCCGGCAGTAGAGGTATGCTATTGTCGTTGGACATCCATAAAGCCTTCGACTCACTCTCCTGGGAATACCTATATTACGCACTGGAGAAGTGGGGCTTCCCAGAAACCTTTACGCAGTGGCTTAGAGCTCTGTATGATAGTCCAACGGCATCAGTGAGGTATCTGCAGCACACTTCTCCCCACTTCCCAATCTTGCGAGGTACCAGACAGGGGTGCCCACTATCCCCTATCCTTTTTGTCCTGGCTATCGAGCCCTTAGCTCAGTCGCTACAGCAAAACCCCGACATACAGGGTATCTCGGCGGGGGGACAGGAATATAAAGTAAATCTTTTCGCGGACGATCTGCTTCTCTCCATATCCCAGCCGCACACAACCCTACCAAACCTATTGGCCACCCTAAACAAATTTTCCCACATCTCTTGTCTCACCATTAATAAACATAAATCGCAAGCTTTCAATATTAACCTAGAGCCAGTAACGGTAGACTCAATCTGTGACAACTTCCCCTTCACCTGGCGGAATAACCAGCTCAGCTACCTAGGAATTACTCTAACACAGACTTATGACTCGCTATATAAAGCCAACTACACCCCTCTATTTAAACTGGCTAGAGATCTGCTATCCACCTGGTCCCATCACTGCCTTTCCTGGATGGGGAGAGTAAATTCTGTCAAAATGGTCCTCCTCCCTAAATTGCTATACAACTTCCGCACGCTACCAATTGCAATCCCAGGCCATGCCATGCGAGCCCTCCAAAACCAAATATTAGGTTTTATATGGCAAAATAAACGTCCACGGATCCCTAAGGGCACTATCTGCACTCATAAACGACAGGGAGGGCTAGGACTGCCAAACCTCAGTAAGTACTTTCAGGCAACGCAAATAGCACCAATAACAAGCCTGTTCCTAGCCTCCCAAGCACCGCTGTGGACTGAGATGGAGGGGGCACTGTGCTCACCCATAGAAATAAGGGCATTACCTTGGCTTCCGCCACCTGAACGCCCCCAGAGCCATGAGTCCCGTAATGCGCCTAACCCTAAAAATCTGGGACAACACCAAATACTACAGCAAATTGATCTCGCCACACTTACCACTGCTTCCCATTGTGGGCAACCCATTGTTCCCTCCGGGCCTGGCCTCCCCTGGGGCGTTCACGTGGTGGAACACACACAACTTCTCATATTTACATGACCTCCTCGAAAGGGATAGCATTTGCAGCTGGCCCTCCAATCAGGAGACTATGCAAGCTCCGGCTGCGGAATTTTTCCATTACCTACAGCTAAGACACTGGGCCTCCAGCCACATTAACCATAGACATCCCCAAACATGTCTGTCTTTGAACACATATGCTATCACACCCCAGCACAACCAAAACTGATCTCTCTACTATATGCCCAGCTTAACTCTGTCTCTTCCCGCATGCATCATGGTTATGTCTCGAAATGGGAGCGTGACTTGGGAACCACCAATTCAGAGGCAGAATGGCAACAGATCTGGACCACAGCCGCAATGTGCACAATTAATGTCACGTCCATGGAAACGGCATACAAATCCATGATGAGATGGTACATGGTCCCAGCAAGATTGGCACATGCGGGCCCTGGTCGGTCAGCCTCCTGCTTTCAGGGCTGCTCAACAGTTGGGGATGTCCTACACACCTGGTGGGCCTGCCCAATGCTCAGCAGATTCTGGGCACGCACATTCCGCCTCCTCAGGAACCTCTTCCAGACTCAAATATCCAAGGATCCGTGGTTTGCACTCCTACATCTTAAACCAGTAAACCTCACAAAATCGCAACACAAACTTGCAGTATACATACTGCTAGCTGCTAAACAGACCATATCTCAGGCATGGAGAAAGCAAATTGTATCTTTTGCAGAGGTGCGACGCAGGATAGATTTTTTTCTTTATTAACGAGAAACTATCTAGCATCCTCCTAGACATGCAAAAAAACTTCCTGAAAACCTGGGGTCCTTGGGTACAATATGCCCATCCAGCCCTGCCATGGGAGAGCTTGACAGCAATATGACCGACCGGGGCTCTGAGGGGCATGGCTAGCGGGGACGTCCAACACCACATTTTTTCCCTTCTCCTATTTCTCTCCTACTGGAGAACTGCCCCTCTACTTCTTTTCTTCCTTTCGTCTACTCTCTCTTCTACCTTAGATAGCCCAATGTAACTCATGGGGCCATGTCCGTGAGATGTCACTCAACTGGTGAAGGACACCTAGAGCAGACTACCTGGCCTATACATTACTAATCGTAAAGTTATGTCATAGCGAGCTATGTGATTGATATAACATGCTCTTCTAACTTTAAATTATATTTTCTGTTTTATGCGTTTCATTGTTAACCTTACGGATCTCGCGATCCCTAAACCTTTGCAAGCATCAACATTTTTACTGTACTCAGTACAATGTTATGATGTATGTTCTAAACTGTTATCTTGAAAAACAAAACACAATAAAATCTTTGTGAAAGAAAATAAGTCTGTGCTCCTGGAATCAACTAAAAGTTATTAACCCCAAAGCTGCTGTGAGGAAAGGAGAACCTTGTATATTTAAATAATAGCACAGATTGAACAAATTAAACTAAATAATTGGTGTTAATATGTGAACAATTTACACAAATATATGTGCTGCAAGAGGCAACTGCGTAAATGACAGAAAAAGCCTACTAGAACAGCTGAACTTTATATGGGCTTAATCTGAGTCACTTTAATTGATGGCAGATGTGTACTGACTACTATTTAATAGGGTTGCACAGATACCAAGTACAGTACTCGGTACAAGTACGAGTACATGTACCGATACTTTTGAGCTCCCAGACTAGACTAGAGAAAAATTCAAAAGTTAGGAGGCCGCTGTCATTTGTAAGGAGCACACGGAACTCCCGGGATTTGTACATCTAGGTTTTAATGTACAATTTTGTTTTTATAAATATAAATAGAGGGATGCACTAAAACAATACAGACTAATGATTTCAGGACAGTGGTGGAGCGCCAGAGCTAGATCCCAGCTGCACCCCCTGCAACCCTGGTAGTTCTCATGAAAATGCCAAGTATCTGCACTGGTACTCGAAAAGTATCTGTGCATCCCTACTATTTAAGATCAGTTTGAATGTGACTGGTTAATTCTGAACACAGCCACATCCCTAATTATAAGAGGGTGTGTATGTGATGAATGCGTCTGGTCCGAACTCGTTGTACATCAATCACATGTTACTATATGCAGTTCTGATTCGACCGAGCCCTCACAAGGATGTGGGGGTATAACTTCCAGCCTTACCCTGCACAGAGATTTCCCAGCTCACAGAACAACAATCTCTGGCCAGCAGACTGAGAGCGATCATTACTAGGATTGGTTTACTCCGAGGTTAAACCTATACACACCAAACGTTCACTGCCACTACATGTGTTAATGGGCACATGAGCCAATCTCAGCAAGTGTTGTGACACTTCACAAAAAACTTAAACCAAGCCTATGATACCGCTGTCCTCTCAGGCAGGAATATGACAGATTTCACTATGAAGTAGCGCTCTTCACAGAGGCAAGGATACTTATTTAGATTCGTTCTTTTTTGGTGTAGTGTGTAGGGATAAGCTTAATGATTTTTAAGATTGTTCTTTTAATAAAAGAAATGGTGCAGGAAAAATATACAGAAATAATATTCATAAAGAGAGACAAATACATAACACCAGTAAAAATAAAAAGGATTAATAAAAAAGAATACTTAACAAGTCCTGGGTTTATAGATTCTGACAGAGTCCAGTTCAGTGCACAAAATATGGGTCGAACTGGCTCTTCTCCATAACAAGGCTTGCACAGTTTCTTTCCTGATGTTAGCAGGGAACTCTTCTTGGAGTTTTGATGTTACGAGATTCTTGATGTTGCGGGGGGTCCCTCTACTTGATAGTAAAACAAGAGACTCCACAGCTGCCTCTGCAGCATCTTTTTGTCAGTCCCTTAGGGGGTGTCACGGAGCCGGTCCATAAGGCAGGGAGGGGGAGAAGGAGGGCTAAGACTTTACAAGGTCCTTCTCTGGTCCTCCCAAATGGTCAGATTCATACACAATACTGTCCGACAATCCCTACATTATGGTGTGCCATGAAATTAGTTTTATATTGAGACCAAACTTTGTGTATATGTGAATTATGTTTGGACCCTGAGAATTAATGTGGCTTGTCAGACCATCATAACCTGTCCACGATTGATAAGTATGGCTTTGCCTTGACGAGACACAGCTTTTTGTGTAATTAATTTTACAGTATCTCTCTCCCATTTCAAGTTATGAAAATTGGGATAGTATTGTAACTCTCAGTTTTATGACTCAGTGAGATGCGAGGTCACGGGGTCGTTATGCTTGCTGGCCCATCTTGTGCTTACCTCAACCTGTCAAATGCTAATGTATTGGTGATCTGCAATTCTGCTTGGTTGACTTTCATTAGGAGTTGCAATAAAAAAGGCTAGGAGGGTGAAACTATAAAGAACGCAGGCCAGATTAGCAGGATTCGTTGCTGGAATTTGAAGACGGCTGAACCAAACGAGGGGCAACCTGAGATCAATTGAACTTAACTGAAGGCTGCAGGTGCTTTGCCATAGTTATAAACAGTTATACAGCATGTCTTTTCTGTACATTTTATTCAAGATTTTTTATCAAAAGCCTTTTTGGTTATTTGTGAACTTTCTCAAAGCTTTCTTAATGTCATTATTCCTCAAACTGTATATGAAAGGATTTAGTAAAGGAGTCAACACAGTGTATAGCAATGCCACCGTCTTACTGAGGATCTGCGTTTGTCCTTCATTTGGAATCATGTACGTGCCGATTAAAGTCCCGTAAAATATAGACACCACCGTCAGGTGGGAACTACAAGTCGAAAAGGATTTCAGTCTTCTAGAAAAGGTGGATATCTTTAATATGGTTAAAACAATATACACATATGAAATTAGTATCACAAAGAATGGCAAGACAATTGCAAAAATACACATAAAGGTGGCTTCTATTCGAGCCATAGACACATCTGAGCAAGAAAGTTCCATCAGAGGGTAATAATCACAGAAAAAATGGTCAATGGTATTTGACTGGCAAAAATATAGTTGATTTATGCCATGTATGAGAATCAGTGCTACGGTGCAGCCTAAGAGCCAGGACGCAACAACTAATTTAATGCAAAGCACGTGGTTCATAATGGAGACATAATGCAGCGGAGCACAAATGGCTAGGTAGCGGTCATAAGACATCATCGTCAGAAGAAAACATTCAAATCCCTCAATTAGAATGAAAAAATAAAGCTGAGTTATGCATTCAGGAAAAGATATGGAGGTCTGGGGATGTAGTATAATATTTAGCGTGACGGGGGAAATATTTGTGGTCAGCAAGATGTCAGCTATGGAGAGTTGGGTGAGGAAGAAGTACATGGGAGAGTGGAGGTTCTTGCTGAAGGCCACCAGTGTGATGATCAAGGAGTTGCCTAATATTGTCACACAGTAAATGATGAGCAGCAAGATGAAGAGCAATACATTAAATCTGTCCATGTCATGGAACCCCAGAAGGTAAATTACTGTGATGTTGTTCTTATTTGATGCCTTTGTGTCACAAAAAAACAACTTTTATTAGAACTAATAATACCCACATTAATATCTGGTGCTGAGAACTATCCTAACAGTGATTGGTGTTGGGTTTTCTACACCAAACCTATGTGTAATAAAACGCCTTCACTGTCCTATTCACATAACGTGCCCCTAACACCAACAAGCATATGTAAACCTTCAAAATGGACTACTCTTATTTGCTTTCTCTTGTTCTGTTAAATATATAATTGAAAGCATTTCTTATATCTGCTTGAGAAGTACAAAAAAACAAACTGCTGATCCTTACATTGTTACATAGTTAGTCAGGTTGAAAAAAGACACATCTCCATCGAGTTTAACCTATAGAGATACAACAAAAAAAAGAAAAGCCTAAACAGAACACTATGCCCACAATCACAATGTTTATTCAGAGATCCTGCTTTATTATCGGACCCATCAGCTATCATTATATTACAGAACACTTTGCCCTATGTCATGGAGGTGTGGGGAAGATGTTCTGTAGTCCTCCCACACTTCCTGCTTATGATAAAAGATACAGTAATGGTGGACATTGGCGAGAATATTGTTACTGGCAGGATCACAACATGAAAAAAAACAAAAACCTAATGCAGCCACCACATCTAAGGACTGGCAACTGCAATACAGGTGAAACTCAAATAATTAGAATATCGGTCAAAGTTCATTTATTTCACTAATGCAACTTAAAAGGTGAAACTAATATATGAGAGAGACTCATTACATGCAAAGCAAGATAATTCAAGCCGTGATTTGTCATAATTGTGATGATTATGGCTTACAGCTCATGAAAACCCCAAGAACCCCAAATCCACAACCTCAAAAAAGTAGATTATTACATGCAATCAATAAAACAAGGATTGTACATAGAACAATATCAGACCTCTGAAAAGTACAAGCATGCATATGTACTCAGTACTTGGTTTGGGCCCCTTTTGCAGCACTTACTGCAATTACTTTTGCACGATATTCTAATTATTCGAGTTTCACCTGTATATGATACATTTTTCCTGGGTTTAGATACCCTTTAAAATAAACCTTTTGTGATATTAACATGATGACTGCCGTGTCTGACTTCTCCTAAACATACTGGTTGACTCGCTGTCAGGCTGACCCACTATATGCAATATTTTCTCAGTCATTGACCATGAACTCTGCGGGTTAGGAGTGCTGATTTCCCTCTAAGTACCTTGCTCCATAATGATTTTGGGACTTTGTTTGCACTTATCAAACAAATATACAAAATGCTTTCACATAGGTCTTATGTTTAAATGTTTTTGTTCCTAAAGATCCTAGAAATTTTTCTTCTAACTGATTTATATTTCTATCAAATTGGTGTTGTGGCAAATAGGAGGCAGCCATCTTGGCCACATGCTGTACAATACCACACTAGGGCCAAATTACGCACCAGCATGTCTTTGGAGTGTTGGAGGTGGAAATGCTAACCACTGAGCCACTGTACTGCCTCTGAGGAAACTTCTTGTTGCTAACCATTTTCCTGCTGACTCTTGTTCATCATATATTATTATACCAATTTTTAATAATTGCATCTTAATTATAGACAGGAGATTAGCACTAAAACTACAATTTATAAACATCTATTTAAAATAAGGTGTGCATAAAAAGAGCTTTAGACACATTTAACTTATCTTAAAATCTGGAAATTGAAAACTTTAATCTGAACCCAATTAAAGTCTATCAGAGGTGCATCTTGAAAATAATTTCTCAACATTTCCAAGGCTATTAAGCAAGGTATTGTCAAACAAATGGCATGGATAGCTGGGCACTGCAACGGGGGACATTGTCAATACAAAAAAAGTTTAAAAACACTGTTCAGCAAGGGGCCAGCTCTTTTAATAAGGTTGAAAAAACAACATTAAAAATACATAAATTAAATGACACGCTTGGGGGTGCCTTATACCTGCGCATGAAGTGGCACACCTGTAGAATGTACTCCCAGAAAAGTGACATTTAGGAACAAAAATAATTGCCACTAAATGAAATCTTACAGTCAGACCCTTTTTCTTTGTAAAAAAAAACAGCATGGGGATCCCCAAAAACCATACCAGACCCTTATCCTTGATAAGTGTCTGCTATGAATGTCACCTAGGATGCCCAGCCAGTTTATTGACTTTCTGAAGCTGGCCAGGGAGATGTTATATGTAACAGCAATGGTGGTGGGAGAAGCGGCAGGAGTAGCAGTGGGGGAAGCAGTGATAGTGTCTCTTGGTCATTGTGGCATTGTTCATCATGATTGACCATGGATCTACATCACTGGGCAATGTGGAACAAACACAACAAATTGTGCACAACAATACTTTCCCACTGTAATTTGTATCAACTGACAGCTCCCCAGCTGAATGTAAAGCAGCCAGCCGATGATGCTGGTTGACACCATTGACCAATTATAGTCATGAACATACTGTATATTGTCAATGGCTTCATTCAGGGTACCCACTGTCTTGATTACTATATGAAACAAGCAAACGGGCAGGCTACAAGCTGTCATCTATTGGCAGTAGTAATACCACCATTAAATTCATATTGCAAACACAGATAAAGTGCACTACACCCTACAAGAACTGCTACCATAAGCATTACCATATGCACAATTAGTCTGTTATACTTAAAATCTAGGCGCTTCCTTTCCCCCAAAACCTTCCATGATAGATATTTGGTAATGCTGCTCCACTACAGTTCAAAATGCAGTTTGAACTGCTAACTAATGCTTAACTAATACTTCTGTAGTCCCAGATCCTCCAGCCCCAAGTAATCACACCACAATTCAGCTCCTATGCAAGTTGTCAGGTTTCTTCTTGTTAGCTGGCGGCATAGATTTGAAGATGATTCCATCACTGTTTCTATAATGACATAAAGCACACAACGTCCTCGTTTGTGCAGCAAACCATACCAATGTATTATAAAAAAGCAATGAAATGCACTCACATGTGGTCAGATACATAAAACCTACAGAAGTTCCTAAAGTTGGTTTTCTTGCAAGGAGCCAACTCCACTTGCCGCCATTATGGGCAAATCTCTTAGTCATCCAATGATCTCACCACCAGGCTCCCTTACCCATCACTGTTCAAAGGATACAAATTCTTCTTCATTAGATTTGATCTTATCCCTTAAAAGGTAATAGGCTGAGGGAGCCGGTGGTGGGGTCATTGGATGACCAAGAGATTTACCCTTAGTGACTGCAATTGGACTATGATTCATTTTGCTTATGTTATTTCTATATTCTTAGATTGTAATCACTGCCAGCTATTTATTTCCTGAGACTCTTTTCTTTTCTTATTATTATTTAATACATGTGCAATATATTGTGTTTACATAATAATAATAATAATAATAAAAATAATAATAGTTAAAATAATAATAATTATTATTTTTATATGGAGA